TGCATGTACCGGTAAGCCATTCTGACACTACAAGGATGACGCATCCAAATTTCACACCCAAAACTGATGTTACATATACGTCATCACCAACGTACATGTACAAGCTGGTTAAGTCATCAACACCTGACATGGAAAAACATAATGTTAGGGGAGGCCCTCCTTCGGCAAATTTGTAAGGATAATTCTCCACTTGTGAAACATCACATTCAAGACAATAACCAGTAACAACTTAAGAGAAGTTGGCAAATATGTAAAATGCATTTTAACTCACCTCTTTTGTTCCTTCATAGTAAGAAATGTCGTTTCTCGTCAAAATAAATACCCTCTGTCTGAAGTTGACGGGAGCCAGTTTCCGCTTGTTCTGCGATCGTTTTAGCATCTCCGATATGCGACATATCTCTTGTATTTCGTTGGCCATGTTAATTCATCCAATTGTCCAAAAAGGCACACAACTGTAGTGTGGGTCACAGTGGTCACTTCCGTTCCTCAGAATTGTGCCGAAGATTCAAGAGCACATGCGTAAAATTTTAATGCACATGTAACACTGTAAGATGCTAAATGCATGTGCATTCAAAACACATGGGCACGTATACATGTGGTTCACCGACAAGTACCGGGCAGGCAATATCACCGTGTAACTTGACTTTCATCAATGTTGAAGAGTAATCATTCCATTGTCAATTTAAGCTGGGTTCACATGTGACGGTATCACCTTCTTTGCCACACAATGGCTGAGCACAATTTGTGACCGCCACATGTTACACCTACTGTGTACAGTGACACATTTGTGCAAGATGGATGACCATGAATACCGTTTCCCATACAGGAGGACAGAGTACATGTGGTTCAACCAGGAAATATCCTCTGAGATATAAACGTACGTATATTTAGCCAAGATCATGGAGAACAGCATACATGCTAATCAATTTCTCTGAAATATTTTTGTGCATAACAGGACAGCCGATGCAGCTTCAGGAAGACGATTGCTTGGATACCGTAGAATTCTAACCTGATTCAAGACGTATGTAACTGTGCGAACATTTCCTGTACAGAGTGACCTGCAAATTCAATGACAAAGCAATCACACAGTAATGCAAGAATAGTAGTATTAATACCAGACAGATATTGAATCGATCTTCAACTTCCACGTGTATATCGTGTAATTTTGTGACTTTTAATGGAATATGCCTCAACAATATTTGTCAAAACATAATCACTTTATGTAAACTGTAAAAAGATCACAAAGGAAATTCACAAGGAACCGTCCACAAAAGAAATTTTGACTGACACCATGCAATCAAAAGCCCAAAACCCTCGTGAAAAGTTGCAGGCTTCCTAGAAACAGCACACCTGTCTGTGCACTGGAGCATTTACCGTTACATGGTTAAATATATATTTTACTTCCTTTTAAGTTGAAATACTGCATGATGCTAATGTCCACATGTAAAGGCAGTGCATGTGCGCATTTGTACTTACATGAATATTTCAAATTCTATTTTATTTGCATTCATTTATCCTAATTTTCCAAAGAAGATTTTGGCTGATAAAACCAAAAAGTTGGACAGGGGTAGTCTGACCAAAATGAAGTTTCTGCTTTACTTTATTTTCGACTTGAAGTTGAGTTAAGGAGGAGATTTCACAGTTAACCCATCGGGAATGGTTCATATGTACAAGCAGGTTCTAATCTGAGCTCTCAACATCAGAATGTATCGTACATGTGCGGGAGCGTAAATTTGAGGATTTCAGCCACTTGCTCCTGCTAATTTCAAGTCCTGAAGTGTCATATGGGGGTCTCTCTGGTCACGTCTGAAGTCTCAAGTCACTGAGGTGCTGGTGCGTCCTCTTTTAAGTCAAGTTTCAGGCCCTTGTGCATATGGTCCGGTGGAGAATCCTTGGAATTATCTGAAATGAGTCTCAAGTCTCGTGGGCTGTCTCGAGTATTCAAGTTTTCAAGTTCTTTACATCATCTCGGATATATATGTAGATTAAAGAGGTAGGGAAAGGAAAACCTTGTTTCCTCAACTGTAACCTTTAAACAAGACGTGACAAGACGATCTTCCAAAATTAACATGAAAAAATGGAATACTTTTCGCATTTATGATTAAAAAAATGGGCTGCCATGAGTCCCTTTTTCACTGATTTCAGAAACATTCAATATGTATGAACCACTTTGCACCGGGTTCAATTAAAAAGGCCGTGCACAAATACGAGCGTTTTTCATGATTTTCCATTTTCAAAGGGCAACATCTATTGACGTACGTTCAGCCAGGCCTGCTGCCTTGTAAAGAGCGCCCAGATTGAGCAGTGTTGCATAATTTTCTTTTGTTCTCAAAACTAGGGCAATGGGGCCAGATTAGCGTGCAGCGGCATTGTGTTGTTCAGCACTGCAATGCTGGAGAGCTTTTGTCCGTGGTTGCAATCCTTCATTTTGAATTCCACAAATAGGGGTATAGTGTTTCAAACCAGAACGGCAAAGCCACCATGGCTCGCTGCTTCTTATGAATTTGAATTTCTTTCCAGCAATAGCAGCTTGTTAAGAGACATCCAAGTTATATAAATGAAGTCCACCCTGTTCTGTAATGCACTATTCTGTCATCAGGGTAATTAAATTCTGTCTTCCAAGGGACAGCCTACCCAGATCATGGAGGAAGGACGCAGAAGGAGTTACAACTATGGCACATCAAAGTGCTCAATGATTATCGCCGCCTGGTCTGACGAACAATAGTAAACATTCCAAAAATGCCTGATTACTGCCTGCAGCTTAGCCGGACAAGTGGGGCCAGTAACGTCCTAGCAATATTTGTGGATTTTTTTTGCAATTAATTGCAACTTGTTGCAGTGACCGGGAAATAGAAAGAAGATATCTAGCATTAGATTTTCTTTTGCCGTTGTGAATAGATTTTTTAAAAAGATTTCGATTCACTTTCCCATTATTCATGCAATATTTGTAATTTTATTTTGTCACTCCGAAACATCAGTTTTCAAAGTCTTTCTACGTCTGTCCTGTGGTGGTCAACGACATGTTGACCACCACAGGACACTTAAATTCACGAAAAACAAAATGCACCATTTCATCAAAAGGAGTGATCATGAAATCTCATAAAATAAGTTTTTGGGTAAATTCAGGAATAAAAATGATTCAAATAAAACACAAGATTTTATAAACAAGTTGGTTATCTATTCCAAAAATAAGTCCAGAAGAAAGCGTTTGATATGGGCAGTAACTGCACATGAACACCTGAACACTTACGGCACATGGCCTAATACAAGCAACTGCGCAAGCATTAAATTAGATGTTGTTGTCAGATCATACCAAGCACCAACGATGGCATGAATATTCAACTTTCTATACTGCAGTACACAACTTTTTAAGGATGCACATTACCAGCGAAAAATTGCAGCGATGATCATGGGGTACAAAAGGGGCTTATGGTTGTGAAACAGGTGGTGTGTAGCAAGCATTCGCTGCGCTCTGGCTATGGACGTACCGGGCATAACAGAAAGCGGTAATTGGCCAGATGTTGTAGCCCGAGCAGTTCAAACTCCTCAGTCCTTCCTCCATGCCCAGATGACCACGGCAAAGGACAAAAAATGTCCTATTTTATTTCCCTTTCATACAGATTATGCAATTATATCCCGAAAAGTAAATCAACAAAGACCACCAACAAGGGAGATAAGCATACAAAGGCTTCATAGTTCTTTACAGGAAAGAGGAATGACTAAAGAATGTGGGTCCAGTACAGTCAGACTAGACCTGGACGACTAGATATATAAGCAGTGCACTTGTGAGTTTGATGGATGGTGCATAATTAAAATTCCCCCAAAGTACAGTTTTCCATTTTGCATCCATCCCCAGCATCCTATCCTCTACAATTCTACCCCCCATCATCCCATATCTACCATGTCTACTTTGACTCCACCCCTAATCCCATCTATCTCCAATCCTACATCCACCTTATCTTTCTATCCATATCCTACTCAACCCCATCATCTGTCCATCTCCTTTGTCCATCTCCTTTGTCCACCTCCTTTGTCCCACATTATCATCTGATTCATATCCTACTCCACCTCCATCTCATCATCCTATCCATCTCCTACTCTGTCCCCTCCCCANCCCATATGTGTCTTAACACTGTCTACACATGTACATTACAGGAGTGCTCAGTACATATGTATACATGTACATGTATGTACTACAGGGTACATGTAAGTACACAATACACTAAAAACATTAACATTTAACTTTTATAACTTTTCATTAAATTCATAAACTATGCAAAGCATTGATGCCATATGAGACTATTTTTAAATACTGATGGAATTCCAAGAGGAAGCAAACAAGCACTCAATGGCACATTTTAACACCAATGTGGCTACAAGGAAAACCTTTAACATTTGACGACGGCCGGAGAGACGGACGGACAGAAGATGGAAATTGGTATTACACAGGCTCCCATTTGCTTCACAGCTTGCCAAAAAAGTACTGATTACCTCCGCTACTGACCACTGAAAAAATGGGACCATCCTAGCTGCTGCTGTGACCTGGAAACACACATTGGGTGAGACGCGCGACATGTGCTGCACCATGTGTGATGTTATCCCCCACCACCGAAAATGGTCAAGCCAAGATGCGGAACATGCACAGTCAATGGTGGGCTCAACGCATGCGGAGTCTGATAAACACGAACAGCATAAATGGAGCGACAGCCAACCGGTGGAAACGAGGAATTGGTTTTCAAAAATACTCAGTCTTGTGCTCTGAAACTTTTGTTATCCCCTGTTTAGGAGGTACAGATTAGCCTAAGCAGGTATGCTGACAGGGTAAAATTTGATATAATAGCTTTCTTATGGCTGTGCATCATTTCATAACAAAAATTTGATTCCAAAACCCCATAGCTTGATAGCATTACGACGCCATGTAAACCTTGTCTCCTCTAAGTCACATGGAGAATCACAGAGTTAGTGACTTAAAGTTCTGGAAGTAGGGCCTAATTGAGAAGGGTCAATACTCAATATGGTCACCAAAATGCTACGCCTGACTTAGTCTGAGCATGGAGTATTTATGCAGGCCAGGGCATCCTGGGTTCATGCCCAAATATACATGTAATGGTAGTCAGTGTGACAATGTCCAAATATTTTTTTAAAAGGCAATTTGTAGGGTCCCAGTTACTCAGACCATGGAGGAAGGATTGATAAAGACATACCGGCATCACGTCACATCCTCAGTCATTGGCAGTATTCAGGTATTTACTATTTTAGGCCTTATTTTTATAAGTTATGACGTTTAGTTGTTTACTGACCGTAAATAACATTGCCATAGCATTTTACTTACATGTAAGTACTTTCTTGAATGAGTGAATACTGACACCCTCTCAAAGTGTAAACGGCGATGATCTGATGATTCGTCAATGATACAAAGATGTAAAAATCAGTATATAACACCCGTTTCTCGTACCTG